CTAATGTTTTGTATTTTTAGTAGAGACGGGGTTTCACCATGTTGACCAGGATGGTCTCGATCTCTTGACCTCGTGATCCACAAGCCTCGGCCTCCCAAAGTGCTGGGATTACAAGCGTGAGAACAGTGAATTTTTAATATTTTATTATTATATTTGTGGCAGGATTAGACCAACCAGACTATTCTGCTAGTACTGGAAGTTGAAAGCTTGCTGATTCTGCTTTAGTTTATTAGTTATATTTCGGACAAACTAAATGTTACACGAGTTTTGTAGAATTATAGTACTGTAAAAAGCAAGTTGTGGTAACAGTTTTACCAGCTGTAACCAGCTAATACCATTCTATTCTTCTCTCAAATAGCCATGTGTGAAATGTGCGCTCTGTGGGCTAATCATAGGTCAACATTGCCTTATGGCTGTTGACCTCTTTTTTTTTCCATTAAGTTATAAGGACCCATATTAAAAATAACTTAATTTGAGCAAAAATGAAAACTAAGAGAAGTCTATTTTGGAAAGATAATATGCTGCTAAAAACCCCACAGTACACTCCACATGAAAATAAATTTTAAATTATCCAACTGTTAGCACAAATAATTAAGAGTTACAATATGGTGGTTACTCTTTTTTTTGTAGTTGTAGTAAAAACACAATGATTTTTAGTATTGCCTTTGATTGACCCATAGTCAGATCCACTATGAAACATCCCCTAATCTTAATAGAAATGAATGTAGATTAGCCCTTTGGTTTTTGTTGCTCTTTTGTCAGGGATTTTGTTGGCGTCTGGAACTGCTGCTACTAGAAACCAGCAGAGGGAGTCCACGTCATGTTCTAGAGACTCCCAGACTCCAGTGAAATTTTTAAATTCTTTTTTATTCTGATCTATTGTATTTCTCTCTGTTTTTAATTTAATTGTGTTTTTGTTTTTGTTTTTTTAAAGAGACAGGGTCTTGCTCTGCAGCCCGCGCTGGAGTACAGTGGTGTGACTGCAGCTCCCTGCAGCCTCCCGCTCCTGAGCTCAGCATCCCAAGTAGCTGAGACTGTAGACTCATGCTACTATGCCTGGCTAATTTTTTTTTTTTTTTTCCTGTAGAAACAGGGTCTTGCTTCAACTTCTACTGTAATTAAAAAGAAAAAAAGAAACAACAACAACAAAAAAGAAACAGGGTCTCGCTTTATTGCCCAGGCTGGACTTGAACTCCTGTCCTCAGGCAGTTCTCCCACCTTGGCTTCCCAAAGCATTGGAATTACAAGTGTGAGCCACCATGCCTGGCTGTATTTTACTTTCTGTATTTAATCATTTTTGTACTATTCGTGTGTATAAGAATTACTTAATATGGAGATTAATGCCAAGGGTCTTAATTATCTTTAAATGATAACTAAAAGAACCATGAATTTAAAAAAAACTCTTGGCCGGGCACAGTGGCTCATGCCTGTAATCCCAGCATTTGGGAGGCCAAGGTGGGCAGACCACAAGGTCAGGAGTTCAAGACCCAGCCTGGCCAACGTGCTAAAACCTCATCTCTACTAAAAATATAAAAATTAGCTGGGCATGGTGGCCCGTGCCTGTATTTTCAGCTACTTGGGAGGCTGAGGCAGGAGAGTTGCTTAAACCAGGACTTGGGAGGCAGAGGTTGCAGTGAGCAGAGATCGCACCACTGCACTCCAGCCTGGGCTACAGAGTGAGACTCTGTCTGAAAAAAAAAAAAAATCTTTATC